AGCCTGGTGTCTACATAGTGAGTTCCAGGCTAGCCAGGGGTACAAAAATGGACCTGTCTCAAGGAACAAACAAACAAAAAAGGCCAGAAGAGATGGCCCAGCAGTTAAGAACACTGGTTGCTCTTCCAGAGGACTCAGGTTCAATTCACAGTACCATAATGGTGGCTCACAACCATCTGTAACTACAGTTACAGAATAGCCAACACCTGTTGTGAAATATTACTTTAACTAGGCAAATAATATTTCTTTAACTAGGCAAATGTAACTAGATGTTACATTTATTTATGTTGTATTAACCATGTAAACGTGTGTTACAGTTGTTTATGCTGCATTTGTTTAACTATGTAAAGAGGTGTTGCTGTTTCACCTTGCCTGCCTAAGGCACCTGAGTGGTCTAATAAAGAGCTAAATGGCCAATAGCTAGACAGTAGAGGGATAGGCGGGGCTGAAGGGCAGAGAGAATAAGTAGGAGGAAGAATCTAGGCTCAGAGGAGAGAGAGAGAGACACTCAGGGCCAGGAGCCAGGAGCCAGGCAGCTGTCAGACAGACAGACACTAGAAGCAGTAAAATATGACAGACAGACAAGAAAGAGAGAGAAAGGAAGAAAAAAAGAAAAAATGAGCGAGCCCCAAAGCAAAACACAGAAAAAGAGAAACAGATTAAAATGAGAGCTAAGATAAGGCAGAGCATTCATAACTAATAATAAGTCTCTGTGTCATTTGTGATTTGGGAGCTGGTTGGTGGCCTAAAAGAAAGTTTGCTATAAAAACCCTCTTCTGGCATCAATGTGCACCCATGTGGTGGATATACATACATGTGGTGATATTTTGTTGTACCCTAATAAAATTTGCCTGAAGATCAGAGAGCAGAACAAGCCACTAGATTAAACATAGCGGCCAGACAGTGGTGGCACACACCTTTAATCCTAGCACTTGGTAGACAGAAATCCGTCTGGATCTCTCTGAGTTCAAAGCCAACCGGGAGTACATGAGATTGATTCAGTCTAGGGGAGAATCAGAGCCAGGCAGTGGTGGCACACACCTTTAATCCCAGTACTTGGGAGTTACAGGCCTTTAATCCCAGCACTTGAGATCTCATGCCTTTGCTATGGGAAGCACACACACCTTTGATCCCAGCACTAGGAAGGAAGTAATGTGGCTGGGAGGAGAAAGGCATAGAAGGTGTGAGGAGACAGGAGCTGAAGCCTTTCAGTTGAAGCCCTTTTCAGCTGAGGACTCAGAGACATTCAGGCAGAGGATCTGTGGAGTTGTCGAGGTGAGAAGTAGTTGTGGCTTATTCCTTTGTCTCTCTGATCTTTCAACATTTACCCCAATATCTGGCTCCGGGTTTTTTATTATAAGACCTTTAGGAATTCGTGCAACATATACATGTAAGCAAAACACCCATAATAATGATAATTTTTTTTTTTTTTTTT